CACACACACACACACACACACACACACACACACACACACACACACACACACACACACACACACACACACACACACACACACACACACACACACACACACACACACACACAAGCACATTGTTCATGGTAATATTAATCAATCACAGTTTGTTATTGGCAAAACGGAAATAAAACAGCGACGATATCTTTTCGACATGCACTGTGAATACGGGTGCACTGGTAATGTGCACTCTTATTTTATACTTGTTGCCGATGTGATACAATTACTTCATGAAATATCTCATAGGTTATCGGAAAAGAATACCAAGATTATGTGCACACCTTTCGCAGCATTTCTGACGAATCGTAAGCTACGTGCTTGAGAACGTTTTGGGCGAAGAGTTCGATTCCTGATTACTTGTTTTCAAACGTATAACGCCCACATCCTTCTGAGAATCGATCTCCTTCCTCCATATAATCACCGTTTACTCCCCGTTCATATAGCTGTTATTAGTAGCGAAAAAAATGGTATAATAATAATAATAATAATAATAATACAGTGTGTCTTCAGCGTCGTTCACGGCGCGGCTTGTAGGTCACTCCCTCATCCCCACCCCCACACACACACAATCACACCACAGTCTCCGCATCGTTCACACCACGTGCTGAATCCCATCTCTTTTCCCCACCCACGCCATCTTTATTCTTTCACATGTCACCAAGAGCTAATAATACATGTATTATTATTATTATGATTATTATTATTATTATTAATAATAATAACGTATAATGTATTATTAGCTCTTGATATCACGTAGAGTCGCCCGTCGACCCACATTACGCACAGCCACCACGCCCCTGTCACGCGCGTCAGAACTTACCTCCTCCACAGCACACGATGCCCCATATATCCTCCCTACTATCAGTATTCTCGGCGATTCTCCTGTTCTTCTAAATCCTATACTATTACCCCATAGCTTCCCGATTTAACACATCCATCCAACCTTCGCACCGGATTTGCGCCGCACATAGTCCACACCGCTGCTACGTCCATTTATGATTGTCAGAGCACGCTTCTAAGACACACATACAATATCCTAATACGACCTCTGTTTGAAAAGAGGAGTGCTGGTTGGCGAGTCTTATGTGGTGTCGACTGTAGAGTATATTGAAGCCAGTATCTGCTAGGTATACGCGGGGACGTATTGCTCAGTAGGCTGACGGGTATCAATTCCGGTAGCAACGTGGGCAAGGAAGTAGATACAACGGAAATAGGTATTTGCGAGTAATTAAATGGTAATATGTATACTTTGCTCCATGTGATAGTTGGATGGGCGTTGCATCAATTTGTGGTATTTGCCGAGCGGTATATATGAAATCTAGCAAAGAAAAGGAGAAAAACAAGATGGCGTCTAAATTATAAAGATAATATATAATTATAGCAAAACTCGTACAATTTCATCATTGCGAAAGAGAATTGTTACGAATAAACACGAAATTTCGTATAATGTCAGGCTGCGGTTTCTTAATTCTCGTAAATCGCAGCAGTCGTATAGAAATTGCTGTCTGGATTTGCCATATAGTGAAAGCGTTGAAATGGCCTAAAAGCAGAGCAAACGTCTCGCATTCCCATTACTTGAGGCCTATGATTATGAAGTGCAGTCGAACGTTCATTGATTAATATTTTAGCATATGGGTCACGAAGTAGTGAGTGTCACACTATGTAGCATTCACTAGTGTTACGTCTTTACGATCTTTCCCCGTGAGACATACTCTTCATGCTGCTAGTCTACTTAGGACTCGTCACAACGGCAAACTAACGGTGTCAGCGCTTAACACTTCAGCTAAAGCACGCAAAATACACGGCGCCATTGCGCAACGCGTAAATAATGTGCCAACGCACATAGACGTGTGGGTTTGCGAAGCCGTCTTGCGTTTCATCGACTGTGAAACGCTACGTGACACAGAGAAGTACAGTAACAGCGGTGTTGTACATACAGTAACAAACAGTAAGAATAAATAATACTAAAATTATACTAAAATAAATAATACTAACAATAATAAATAACAATAAATAATAAATAATACAGTAACAACAGTAAAAGCTTGAAAAATCTTTGTTGGAATAGAGTTACCCATGAGCTGAGTCTGTATCCATTTAACACCACAACAACGATCCGTATAATAAAATCGTAATATAATAATCTTACAACGTAAGCGTACGTGCTCTATCCATACTGCTAATCTAGGAAGACGCCAGCCCGCAACTACTTATATGTCATTTATTTGCTGAATTACGATGCAAGATGTACGTGCACATATGTGCTGTAATCATTTAACATATTTCACAGGTAAAAGCAGCTCGAATCGCACCTGCCAATCTGCTAATCCCCTGCAGCTCTACCGAGCAGACACGAGGAATAACTAACCAGGTGAGTAGAGTTGGTGGGGGGAGGGGGTGTATCACAGCGTGATCAGTAGCGTCGTGGAAGTATAGATACTTCTATACACTGATTTAACCGTTACTGTCCCTATTGCACTGCTATTTTATGTTCTACTATAATAGCATAATCTCATGCTAATTCATCACTCTTGATCACATTGATAGCCTCAGATATGTTACGATTATTAGTTATGGTACGTTTCATTACTTTCGTTGGGTTCGCCCTTGCTGTTTACACATTTATCAACATTGTGCAATTTCTGCCCTTATTATACTAATCGTTCGCGCCATGCTAATTCCGTTCTTCTCCTAATTACTTCTGTAATTGTACTGTACGGAGTTTGTAGTATGTATGTTGCAACCATTTGGGCCGTTTCTATTCAATGGTTTAATAAAATTTTATAAAATGATAGTAAATTAACACGAATAATATGATAATATACATATACATATATTTCATAAATATTTAATATTATTAATATACGGATTGATACATGATCGATGTTGTGCAGTGTACGTGCGTGCGCGCTTGTACGTGCGCGCGTGTGCATGCGCGTGCGTGTGCATCTGCGTACGTGTTGGATCCCGAGAGCCTTCAGGCTCGCCTGCAGCCGGGCCGTCGATGTGATTTCTCTAACTTAATCCTCGTCGGCAATGTCTGCAAATTAAAATCATTAGGAAAGGCACACAAGCCCGTGCCGTCGGCCGCATCGATCCCGACTATCGATCTGATTAAACAGGCGCGCGTGCGCTGTCGCGTTAAGGTCACCATGCCAAAGACGGATCGGCGGTGGTGTGGACCTTAATCCTATACGGCGCTGCAATAGCTGTTGTTGTCGTCAAGACGAAACGAATACTCGCTCAGCCGATAACGCTCGCTGACTGCATAATACGACAACATATCAAGGCGACTATCAATAAAATTGGCGAGACGCGCGCGAGATGCAACTCGAAGCAAATCAAATCTCACTCGCGGCGAAATCAGACCGTTAAACAACATGTGGGTAATTAGGCTGGCGCTGGCTTGCTGTTTACTTGGGCGTATTGATGGCGAGTGCCATTGCTGAAAGTCATATTACATGAGACTATGATCACGCATAGCCGCAACCGATGTTCTTATTAAAGGGCATGTCGCACGGGCCACGCACGCCGAGGGCAGCTTGTGGCCGTGACAGATATCCGCGACGCCCAATTACCTAAAAGTTTTACAACTCGCAAACATGCATGCTCTTCTTGCTACTAGAGCTCATAAGGTCTATGTCTCCCTGGGTACTGCCGGACACTGCGGCTGTTGTTGTTGTTGTTGCTGCTACTAATGTTGCTACTAACTGCTGTTATTGTTGTTGTTGCTGCTACTAATGTTGCTACTAACTGCTGTTATTGTTGCTGACATTATTGTTGATTGTTAATATTATTAATTGTTGTTATTGACAACAGCAGCCGCAGTGTCCGGCAGTACCCAGAAAGACATAGACCCTATCAGCGCCACTAATCCTGTTACAATAGGCTGCTGAGATTGTGACCTATACGAATTTGCTTAGGTTAGTCGAGGCTGTTCGATCGTTTAGCCCTTCACCAGTGGAGATCAGCTGGACAACAACATGCGAGCAATTTTGGTGCGCGTTTAAAGCAGTCGCGTTCAGCTGGAGTGCAAGAGAACTGTGCATGCAAGCAGCTACCCGCGTACATTGTGATTCTGTTGCGCAAGTTTGAAATTGTATTTATTTGATTTAAATATATGAAATGATTGATATTTGAAATGATTGATTGATTGATCTGATTGATTGATTAATTGATATTGATTGATATTAAAATGATTGATATTTCAATTGAATTGTATAATTGGAGAATGCGCATGGACGATCAATATCGAGTGGCAAATTGAGCATCACACATCAGGGAACTGTATAGGCGAGGATCGAGTCAAGAGCAAAGAAGAGACAGCACTGCGACAATAACGAACAGGACATTTACGTATGCACTAATTAGATTAGATTTAATTGAACGAAGGAGCCACGCGCGCTTGCCCGAATATTTTACGCGTGCGTTTTTTCGGATTCGACTAACTATTTCGCGGTAGTAATTGAAGAGAAATGATGTGGCAGCGAAGCGCAATGGATACATCTCGGTGACAGTAACACGTAGCATTTACACTGTATATAAAGACGACTTTTCTTCCTAGCAGTCGTCATGGCTCGAGTTTAACAATGAATTACTGTGTACGAACAGGTAAAGGTAAACCACTCCTTCTTTTTCTTTTTCTTAGACCATTCAGTCTCCTCGGAGACACAGGCCATTGGTGAACTTCCTTCATGTGACTCGGTTGGTTGCCTTCTGTCTGTATTTGAGGTCTGATAGTATTTTTGTGATTCGGACTTACAGGCTCCGCTCAAGAGAGGACAAATTATAGTAATTAAGGAGAACTACACCAAGCTCTCCTTAGGCTTTGAAGCGAATGATTAAGAAGTCGCCATTGACATCCTATACTCCGTACAGACTGCAAAATTTGATCCCACATCAAACTGGTACGGGCCTGTCGATCGCCAAGCGCGCACCAAATCCTAGCGTACAAACACGAT